GAGCTAACAAAGGACGGGGATAGTCGATAGTCGAGGAATGCAGAAGGGAGGCAGCCCTCGCTTTCAAGAGCTGCAGATGTAAAACAAAGACGGGGAGAAAATGCCTCGAGGTGCCAAGAATAGGAAACCCAGTTAGAACATGTTATTAACTCACTTCTTGAGGATAATGCAGAATTAGCAATTCTTCTAAAGAGGATTCATACTGCACTTAATATTGCCCAGAAGTTGCAAAAATTCCCCAATTCTGCTGTCACGACAGTATCTATTTTTTGCTACTAACAGGACCCAAGGTCTAACTTTTAGATGCCTTTTCTTTTTTAATAAACCAATTACAACAAAATGGACAATGTAAACCAGGTCTCGCATCTGGAAGATGTAAACAGTTGGCTGGAGAAAGCAAGGGGAGTTACACAGCTGCAATGCAAAGTTTGAGTTTGTTCCACCATTTTCTTCCTAAGACTCCTTCTCCATTGCCAGATATACACTATATTTAGTCAGAATAATTTTCTTTTTGTGAAACTAGAAACAAGAGAAGTATTCTTGTCATCGCTGCCCATGGTAGGGGGCGGTCCAAGCTAGATCATCTTTAAGGTCCTTCCCAACCCTGATCATTTTATGATTCTATGACTCTCCCAATGCCTTTGAAAAAATCTTTTGTACTAGAAAATGGAAATTGGAAAGGGAAACCTGGAAGAAATTAAATAAAAATAGATTGGTCCTGGTTTTGTTCAGAAGGCAAAGGGTACATAAAAATGAACATGCAGTGTCAGTGGTGAGAAGGAAATGCTTTTAAAATTCTTCATCTCAAGATGAGACAACAATACCAGAAACAATGCTACCATTTCCTAAAACAGTGCAGTCTGTGCATTTTTCTCCATGGCTGCCTATATGGAAGATGAGAGAGAATATCCATTAAACAAGGTCATCTTTGTGTTTAAAACATCTACTAAGGAGAAGCAGCTGGTGAACATAGAGGATGCTGTCACCCAAACCCTGAACAAACTGTAGTTTCCCTGAAGCTGTGAGTAACAGGTTTAGTAATATATTCTATGATGTTTGTATATCATCCTGTTTTTGTTCTACAGAGCAGAAAAAGTCAGAGAGAAGGGCAAGGCATTTCAGGATGCCCAACAGTGTGCCCCTCAGCCTTTCTTTATAGGCCTCCTTGTAAGTGCAATTATCTGAACAGGGAATCAGAGACCAACTGGATAATTATCTCCTAGGGATTGGGGAAAAAAAGTCCAGGTACAAATTAAATTTGCTTTTCAGAGTCTGCTGGGAAGTTTGAACTACTGATCTGATAGCTCGAACATCAAAGAAAAACATTGGAGCAATTGTAGGGTGACTCCTGGAAGAAAGAAATAGGAAGAGTTGGGGAAACCAGTTCTCTCACATTTTAAGTTAAATGCTAGTATTGAACATCACATAGCCAGCTACTGACTTACAATGAGCAATTAAGTAATTAAAATAATTAACTACACTAATTGAACCAAAGCCTACATGCAGCAGAAGGGGCAGGCATTCCCGTAGCCTTAAAAAACTATTTTATTAGAAACCAGGAGTTTCCAGGAGGACTTGTTGATCTGCTGGAACCTTCAATTTGTCCAACTCTCTCATGGAAGAAGAGCTCAGGAAATTTCGATATCTCTGTCTCAAAAATATTATGTGTAAAAGTAAATGCATGTGTAAATAACACTAGTCCAAGGTTGTAGGTTACCTCTGCAGAGGAAGGTTTTGTTTAAGCAAATTAACTTCTGGTGCAAAGCAGACAGTGTGTCCAGGAGACATCAAATCACCTGCTCAGCCACAAAGGGTCTGTGCCTCTCAGCCAGGACTGGGACCTCCATCTCCTTCTTGAGAGCATCATTTGGATTCCCATTTCACCCATCTCACATTGGGTGAAACATTCTGAATCAGGGGAATATGTTATTGACAGTTTTCCTGGATGATTTTCTCTAGACCAACAAAACCCTATCCCTTGGACTTCCAGGTTGTGAAGTATGAGGAAAGGCCATTAAGACCTTTTCTCATTTGCATTCTAACCTTCTGCTGTGTGGGGCCATAGGCAACAGACTTCATGGACTTGTTTCACTAGAGACAAGCAAAACTTCACATAAAAAGATGCCATTTCAGCACATTTTCTTTCCCCCCACAATTGGAGTGAAGTTTTTAAGTCATCAACTGGTCTCAGAGCTCCAAACCGCAGCCTTTCACTGAAGTGCCAGCATGTTTTTTCAGCTAATAATTATTTGTCTTCAACGCTCCCAGAAGCAAAAAGACCCGCTGAGTTGGCAAAACCCTGGGTGAGGAAGCCAAGCCTATGGACAAATCTTTCAGCTTGTGGGGTTCCTGTCCTCATGGAGGAATCAAATGCTGACTGAAGACATGTACATGCACAGCCTTCAATTTGGTTAAACACTAAAACATACTGGCCCTCCAAGTGTTAATCTCGGTCTTCTGGCTCCGGCTTCTAGAGATACTTCTAGGCTCCAGCAGAGCAGAATAATATCATTCTTCTTAAATCATCCCACTAAATAGACTGCTGGATCTAACTGGAGCCCTCCAACAACAGGGCCAGAGGGCAAAATCCACATTTCTTCCTGTTCCTCACTCTAAGCTCCTGTAAAGCTGAACCAGCTTCACCCGTGCTTTAATGTCAGTGAAAATCCACTGCACTGCATGGGCCCCCACTGCACCCTACAAACCCTGAGCACAGCACAAGGCATGCACGTGGGAGATGATAGTTTTTGCAAGAGCTAAATTTCAGACTGGGAAGCTTCAAGTGAAAAGGCAGCCACAACATGGGAAACAGCATTTTGGGATCCAGCCTACTGTTCTTCCTTGTAGACTTCCCATGTTCACTATCCCCAGAGCTCTGTAAAAAGTAACAACCCAAAAAAAGGAAACCTAGGATTCCTTTTCTTTCTTTATTTTTTTTCTTATTTTTCTTTTTTTTTTTTTTCTTTTTTTTTTCTTTTGTCATCTCTTTGCTGTAATTCTCTAGAAGAGGTTTGCCTTGTTTTAGGGGTATTCTGAGTTCATGATCAACAAACTTTTTTGCCACCTGGATGACCTTCCTTCATACACTGACCAGGTCTGCATTTAACTCTGTAGGGATAAATAAAAAGTGAAGTTTTACACTAGAATATCTTCCCTGGTGGGACTACCAGCCATACACATGTGTTCAAGCCTATTCCTAATTTATAAACCATAAACTTAATGCAGTGGTTGCTTACCTCTTGCTGTCTCCTGCTAAGAAACCCCAGCTGCTACATTGTCCTCTCTGTGACTTGCAAATGCACATATTCCAATTTCAGAACATTTTTCAAGATTCTTCACACATGAGCTGCTGAACACATGGTTTTCTTTCAAAATACTTCACAAAAATGTTGGCTAACAAATGATCTGAGGAATCTGGCAATCGCCTTGTGGTTAATTTTTAAAAAGAAAAAGCAGTGGAATAAAATCCATAGTTTGGGGCCAATATTTTTTTTATTATTATTATTTTTACTAAACCTCACACCATCTTCCTTCCTTCCCCTCAATGCTGCCTTTGCTGGCTTATTTTTGTCTCTGGGTTTGGACGTGGCAGTGGGCATGGCCCAAAAGCAGAGCCTACTTTTGCAAGAAGGGCTTTTGTGTCCGTAACTCCTGTACCACCCTGTGCTGTGCCAGGCTGGTGCAGTGCTGTGGCAATGACCCTGCTGCTCTGCCCTCACCCACCCCTGCAGCATCCCCAGGGCAGCTGCTCAGCACAGGCAGGACTGAACAAAGGTTTGTGATTACCTGTGCTCCACGGGGAGAAGGCAGAGAGAAATGCAGTGACTCATTGGAAACACTTTGGGGATGGAAATGACGTTAGAAATCAGGCTGAGCTCCACAAAGCCCTGCACTTACTGACCCTCACTGAGTCCAGAGCTAGCTACTCTGAATGGTATAAATTGACCCAAAAGAAGCAGTTTAGGAGGTAATGTGGGAAGGGCTAGAATTTATGACACTTTTGCCAGAAGGAAGTGAGTAAAACTCTTTGCACATACATTTTGTACCATACTTAAGCAATGTGTGGCCCTACAAGAACATGTGGCCCTTTGAGAACTGAGGACATGCAGGACATTCATACAACAGCACAAGCACTAATGGCTTTCCAACGAGGCTTGTCCCCAGATACCAGCTCCTGATGGCAGCAAAGGGAAACCAAGCTGTGTCCAAGGATGCTGAAGGACATTCTGTGTTACCAGGACTGGGCATCTCCCTTGGCCAAGAGGCACAATGTTTTGCATTTTGTTTTTTTTCCCCTCTGCAGTGCACTGTTGCTTTCACAGCATGCAAACTCTTCTCAGGAAATGCTCGTCAGAATGCCAGGGAGTGTTTTCACCATAAATGGTTAATCAGGCTTAAATATTCTGTCTGTTTTTACTTGGCAACAAGGGGGCCCAACCAAAGACAGAGCACTATAACACTAAAAAGGCAGGGAGGAGGGAAGGGCATTTATCAACAGAGCTGACAAAAGCTAGTGATGCTCTGAGCATTATCTTACACGTTTATCCTGTTGTAGAACAGCATAAGACACAGACCAGAGGGTGGCCACATGCTGAGCAATACTTGGGGCTAGGCAGCAAGTCAGCCCACCATGGAGAGAGAAACAGCATAGGACTGAGACTAGCAGCCCAACTTCTCCAACTTCTCAGCTGTGTGCAGGGTGGAAAACTCTGCATGTGTAGAGGTAGCACTGAGGGACAGGGTTAGTGATAGACTTGGCAGTGCTTGGTTAATGGTTGGACTCGATGATCATAAATGTCTTTTTCAACATAAACAATTCTATGATTCTGTGATCATGACCCATGGAAAACCCCATATTTATGGCTTTCCATCAGAACAATGTTCTGCTCAAGTCTGCTTCTGTGTTAATGTTCTCTGCTGTATGAAAACCAAAAAAAAGTGACAGCCATACCCCCTCCTTCCCATCCACAAAGCTTTCCCTTCCATATGAGACACATTACCTTCTGTAGTGGGTCCTAATGCGTCAATTGCTTCTTGTGAGACTTGGGGCAGGGCAGCAGTGGTGGTGGCCAGCAGATGGGGATTGTCTGGAGCAACAGCTGTCTCTGTCTCTTGTTCTGACACTACAGGAGGGGAAGGCTCCATGTCAAGCTGAGCCTCTTCAGGGTTCCTGAGACCCTGTGTTGGTTCAACATCTGGAGTCCTGGTACTAATTACAACGTCTGGGACAGAGGTTTCCCCTGAAATGCCTGCGATAGAGTGTGTCACAGCTCCAGATGTTGTGTCAGGAATCTCCTTCTCCTCAGGAGTACCAAAGGGCTCCCTGCTGCCCAAAGATGTGGCAGCTGTATTGATGTTAGCAGCAGGCAATGCAGATGCTTCCCCACTGGTTTCATGGACTGTGGCTGCTTCTGTGCTGATCTCAGGAAATGTCTCTCCACGGGCTTCTTGACTTGTGGGTGTTCCTATTCTAATTTCAGGAAATGCAGAAGTTTCCCCACTGGCTTCTTGAACTGTGGATGTTTCTATGAAAATTTCGGGATTGGCAGATGTTTCAGTCCTGGCTTCTTGACTTGTTGGTGTTTCTATGCTGAACTCAGGGAATGCAGATGTCTCCCCACTGATATCATGGACTGTAGAAGTGTCTATGCTAATCTCAGGAAATACAGATGTTTCACCTCGAGCTTCTTCACCTGTGGATGTTTCTATTCTAATTTCAGGAAATGCAGGTATTTCACCACTGGTTTCATGGATTGTCGAAGTTTCTATGCTAATTTCAGGAAAGGAGGACATATCCCCACTGATTTCATGGACTGTCGAAGTTTCTATGCTGATTTCAGGAAACACAGAAATTTCCCCACTGGTTTCATGGACGGTTGAAGTTTCTATGCTAATTTCTGGGTAGGCAGATGTTTCACCCCTGGCTTCTTGATTTGTGTATGTTTCTATTCTAATTTCAGGAAATGCCGAACTTTCTCCACTAATTTCATGCACTGTTGAAGTTTCTATGCTGATTTCAGGAAAGGCAGATGTTTCTCCACTGGTTTCGTGGACCGTTGAAGTTTCTATGCTAATTTCAGGATAGCCAGATATTTCACCCCTGGCCTCTTGGCTTGTGACTGTTTCTATTCTGATTTCAGGAAACACAGATGTTTCCCCACTGATGTCTTGACTTGTGGATGTTTCTATTCTAATTTCAGGAAATGCAGATGTTTCCCCACTGATTTCTTGTATTGTGGATGTATTTTCAGGAAATGCAGAGGTTTCCCCACTTGTTTCTTGACCTGTGGATGCTTCTATTATAATCTCAGGATACCCAGATGTTTCACCCCTGGCTTCCTGACTTGTGGATGTTTCTGTGGAAATTTCAGGAAATGCAGAGGTTTCCCCACTGATTTCTTGAATTGTTGATGTTTCTGTGTTAAAATCGGGAAATGCAGATGCCTCCCCACTGATTTCATGAATCGTGGATGTTTCTATACCAGTTTCAGGAAATGCAGATGTTTCACCACTGATTTCATAAGCTGTTGATGTTTCTAGAGCACTTTCTGGCAGTGCAGATGTTTCCCCACTTAGTTCACCAGATCCAGAGGCTTCACCACTGGGCCCCAAACTGTAAGGAAACGTGACAGTTTGCCCACCCAGTTCCTGTGATACTGTTGGTCTTGTCACCACTTCTACTAAATCAGAAGTGACTAAAGTGATTCCTGGAAGCCCTGAGGCTTCCCCACTGATATCAGCCACTGTTGAAGACTGTCCACCTAGATCTGTGGCTCCAGAAAAGTCTCCGCTGATGTAGGGAATTCCAGATGGCTCTTCACTCAAGTCTCCTGACCCTGAAGGAAACCCACTCGTCTCCACAGCTCCAGACCCTTCCCCAGATAGTCCACTGTCTCCAGAAGTAAATCCACTGATTTCTATCACCCCAGATGGTCCTTCTCCCACTTCTTGTGCCACTGATGTCTGCGTTACAACTTCCACCAAAGTGGTATCCACAAGAGACACTGTGGGAAAGCCAGAGGTGAGTCCACTTTCCTCTCCAGACAGAAGACCACTGGTGACATCAACTCCAGAGATGTCTCCGCTGCTGTCCGTCACTCCACTCGGATATCCGCTCATCTCCAGCACTCCAGAAACACTCCCACCAAAGTCTACATGCCCTGAAGGCTCACCACTGATGTCTAAACTCCCAGATACACTGCCTGATCCATCTTCCTCTCCTGAAGGCAGTCCACTGGTTTCCAAAGTCTCTTTTGCTTCTGCTCCTGTAATTGGTGAGGTTGTTGTCACTGCCTCCAAAGTGGCGTCTACAAAGGTAATGCCAGAGGCCTCACTGCTTCCCTCAATACCAGAGCTAAGGCCACTTAGGTCCACCAGGCCACTGATCTCATGTGTTCCAGATGTTTCTCCACTGGCATCCAGTCCTGAGGGCAAGCCACTAAGTTCAGACCCTCCTGAGGACAGCCCGCTGAGCTCGGGTAACCCAGAGGGCTCCCCGCTGGGCTCAGCTCCTGAGGGCAAGCCTTGGATTCCACCACTGCTGTCCCACTCAGAGGATGGGAACCCTGACAGATCTCCTTCACCACTGACTCCGATGGACCCTTTTCCCTCCTCTTGCCGTTCTGTCACTGCTGTTACAACTTCCACTAATGTGGTATCCACGAGAGAGATGGTAGGAAAACCAGAGGTCACTCCACTTTCCTCTCCAGATGACACACCACTGACTAGCTCAGTGCCAGAGATTTCTCCGCTTGCTCCAAAAGGCAGCCCGCTGCTTTCCACTTCAGATGGCATCCCACTAATTTCTGGTATCCTTGAAATAGACACCGATATCTCCTCCTCTGCAGAAGGCAGGCCACTGATATCAACAACACCAGAAGACACACCACTCAGATCTCCTGAGGGCAGCCCACTTTCTCCAGGTGGGAAGCCACTGGCATGAAGGTCTCCTGATGGTAATCCACTCTCTCCAATGCCCGAGTGGTCTCCACTAAGTTCAAAAACTCCAGAAGTTGGTTCTCTGCTTGTATCTAGAACTCCAAGAACCCACCCGGGTGCCGAAGATTCACCACTGACTTGATTCTCTCCAGATTCTGTCACCCCTTCTGACACTTCGCTGATGGAAGCATTGGTACTGGTTTCCTCTGGTGCTATGGTAGCTGGGGGGAAAGCAGATGGACTCACTGCAAAAGAAAGAACAAAGAGAAGGAGTTGGGAAAATTATTTATATTTGTGAGGGTCCCAACCCTACATCACCAGCCCAACATGACACAGGCTACAAGGAAGCTCTGAACCCACCTGAGAGCAGTGACACATCGGTTGGAAAGACCTCGGTGCCCCAGGCTGTCTGATTCTCAGGTTGAGTGGCAGACTCTGTCTCCATGGTCACCTCCTCCCCCGAGGGCACCCCCTCCACTCCAGGGATCACTTGTGTTGCCAGCACATCTTCAAAGAACGGGGTGACTCCCTCCTCCTCCACAGGAGGCAGAGCTGGAACAAAAAAGGCATTGGAGGGAGTTTCCAAAAATTCACAATCCAAGATGCCGCCTCACTCAAACTGGCACCCCAACATGCCCAGCCTCCCTTTTGAAACCCTTTCCCCCAGGAGCCAGGTTTCTGCAGCCTGCAGGAGCGGGAGGGTACCTCTGAAGCAGAAGGCGTGGTGCCGGGACAGCGGGTCGGGGAAGCCCGTCTGGTTGTGGTGCTGGTACACGGTCCTGACGCCCGGCGCGTCCCCGCCGCAGGCGGGCCGGGGGCTCACGATGGGGTAGCGCAGGCTGCCGTCGGCCAGCCAGCCCGCGTAGCACCGGTCCAGGCCCTGCTTCCAGGCAGCATGGAGATGCCCAACAGAGGCCAGCGTGGCGTTCTGGCTCTCGCAGAACTGCTGGGCTTCTGGGAAGGTGAACTGCTCCGGCTGGGTCGCGAAGAACACGTCGCCTGAGGGATGGGAGGGAAAACAGAGTGAATCCCTGCATCCCAGCCATTGCAGACAGAGAAGGAGGCGTGGGGCTCGTTTTTGCTCCACAGCAGTGCCCAGGGGCAGGGGAGGATGTACCCTTGAGCCTGTCGATGTAGCAGTACACGTCGTAGGTCTCCGAGGCTGGGCGCATGCCGTATGACCGCACGCCTGGAGTGTTCTCTTTGTCTCCTATGCAGTTATTTCGGGGATTCACAATGGGATACCTACCAAAAAAAGGAAGAGAAGAGGTAACCCAAGGTCAACCTTATGTAGCCAGGACTGAAGAACCTCAGTGTGCTTGGAAGCAGGACATGGACTCTTCACTGTTTGAGGTGCTCAGAGACTGCAGTGTGAATTGGAGACAAGTCCACTTACAGCTCAAGGCAATACATACAAATTTCCTGCTGCTTTTCCTGCACACCAAGAGGGCTCACTGGTGCAATATGAGGAAAAGAAGTGCGCAAAACATGTCTATTGGTCATTGAATACCACAGTCTGGAGAAAATCTTGGGTCAGCAAAGCTTTTGATGTTGATGAGGAGAGCAGCAGGACAAACCAGAGTAAAGCCTCAGTGGCTGAACAGCCATTTTGGAGGGTGTCTTCCCCAGGTCAGTGTAACTTTACCTGACTGTCTGGTCCCGCAGCCAGCCAGCATCACACTGGTCAAAGCCAGCCTCGTAGGCAGCCTGGAGCTGCTGGGGCGTGGCGATCACAGCGCTGTTCTCCAGGCAGGCCTTCTGGGCTTGGACAAAGGAGAAGGCGTATCTGCTGGTGGCTGCACGGTAGTGAAACACCACACCTGGGGGAAGAGAAGCTGTGGTGAGACAGAAGGTACAGGACTCTCCTGCACTGAGATATGTGACCAAAAACCAGTGCAAGGACCAGGCCCTCTCAAACCCCTTTTGATGGAAATGCCTCATTCATGGAGCCCTGCTGCCACTGAGGATGATGTTCTGGGGATCTCTTCAGCCCTCCTCTAGGGTCTTCTTGTCTTGACTTTCCCCTTCCCTGGAGTCAGGTGGATATGGGAGAGCAGAGTGTGACCACTGCAGGCCAAGCATCAGCCAGCTGAGCCCTGGTCAGCACATGATGGGGTGGCCCACAGTCTTCTCCTCTCCCCTCCTGCCCTACTGTGATGGAGGTGCTCAGCCTATCCCTGACCTCTAACAGGCCGCCAGGGATCTGGATGCCCTCTGAGATGGCAGAAACTCAGGCTGTTTTCAGCTGAGGGGTTACCTCTAGAATGAACTGGCCTTCAGGCTTCTCGGGGTGCTGGTGCCTTACCTGTGGGGGAGATGGGCTGCTCGGGAAGGTGACCGGCACCAGGGGCAGCTGTCACTCGCACAAGCTGATCTTCTGCTGTGAATACTGAGGCAGACTCCAGTCCTGGTGTGGCAGTCACCCCCACGACCTCTTCCACCGAGCTCACCTCTGCTGTTTCGCTGGTGCTAGCAGTGCCAAAGGCTAAGGTGGTGATGGCAGTGCCTAACTCTATGGTGGTGGCCTCTTCAGGTACAGTCCACACCGCTGTGACATCCTCCCTGGTCACATTTTCCTCCTCTGTGGCAGCTGTCTCCGCTGTGACAGCGGTGGTGAAGAGGTCGGGCAGGGCAGTGAAGCCCTCGTCCAGCCTGGTGGCGGTGGGGGTGATCTCCATGGGCTCCAGGGTGGCGATGCTGCCGCGGGCCTCCTCCTCCGTGGCATTGCGTGACAGGGGCAGCTCCACCTCGGTCTGGGTGACAGTCTGCACAGTGAAAGCACTGCCCAGCTCACTCCCTAGCTCGTCGATGAACTGCCCTGGGACCAGGCCCTCAATGTCGTCCCCTGCATCAGGACACAAAGCAGCAATCAGAGAGGATGTCAGTCTGGTGAGGTGAGCTGCACTGGTGCTGCCTCCAAGAAGCAGCTGGGTATCTCTGGCTGTGGGAGGATTAGGGAAATCGTGACAGTTTGGTAAAGGAAATGGTTTTCTTTCCCCAACTGAGGCTTTGTACAACGCCTCAGCACGGAGGGCATGTGACGAGGCACTGAGCCACCTCGTGCTCCAAATCTGGTTAATCAGCGGAGACATTGCCCTCGCTCCTGCCAGCTCTCCTTCCCGGGAACACCTTGCCCATATCCAGGTCTGTACTGACCCCTAGTGCCTGCTGCAAGGAAATTAAGGTGGACGGAGGGACGGAGGGGAGCTCGGATAACCACAGAAGATCAGTCTGAGCCTGGATCCTCACACTCGCCGCATAAAAACTCGGCAGGATCATGATCACCTTCTGCTCTGCCCAGGCGGTGACTTGAGAGCTCATCCCATGGAAACATCCTAACCCACTGTCAGGACAGCCAAGGCCACTTGCTGTACCAAACACATTGAAACAGCTCCCACCTTTCCCCTTCCAAATCACTTTCCTGACCAAATCACACCCCTTGGATCTAGGACAATGTGCTTAACGTGGCACCGAGTAGCTCAGCTGACACAGACACTGGTTTGTAGAGCAGCATGAAACAGAACTGTGAGGGCAGGTAAGGGAGGGATGGATCACATCTTGGATGTGCGGCAAGGCAGGTCTTGGCTGGAGAGGGAAAAAGTATGAGAAAATGCCTGGGTTTTCCTCTAATAATGCTTTCCCTGCTCTATTTCCAATTCCATTGTACTGCTGGTTCATTTTAGGCAATAGCTTTCAGATCTCAATGGATTCACAGATTTCTGTAAAAATGCTCAGAAAAGGACTGACCATATGCAGCAGTTTCAGAGGCAAACCCTGAGATAACCAGAAGGCTGTGGCTTGGTGGACCAGTCTTCAGCTTGTCCACATAACTGGGTACCTCCACAGGTCTGGGAGATGCATCTGGGCACAACAGATCTGATCATAAGGGTTTCAACACATATTTTAAAATACTGTTCTTTTTTAACTATGGTAATCCTATATGAATGTTAGCCTCTGGTTGCCTGCCCTGAAGAGACAATATATCACTGAGACAATATATCAGAGACAATTCATTGCTCCCTCTTCTTGCTGCAGGGAAAACTGTGCAGTTAGAAGAAAGGGGGAGCAGCTGTGATGCTTTTCACTTCCTGGATGCAATTATAATCCATGATTCCCTGAGACTGCATCAGTCTCAGATTCATCCCAGCATGGAAACTCAGTCACACATCTGTACCACACCACATCTCATCACTACACACATTTTCAGGGTCAGACCTGCTCTCTTTCTCCTTCACTTCCTTCTCCAGCATTCAAAGTCTATATGAAGCACCTGAGCTCTGCTTCGTGTCTCCAGGAGAGCTTTAAAAGCAGGAGGGTGTGGGAGGATGGAGAGACATGGACTGTGTTACCCCCACCTCCGCAGAGCCCCCATGTACAAGTCAAGCAGCTTTCCTAGATCTGCTTTCTACCTCAACACGAGCAGAGGACTTAGTCCTTTGCCAAACCTGCTTTCTCCCCTCTCTTTAAAAAAAAACAACGACATAAAGAAGCACGAGGTCGTGTCTGGCCGGGGAGCTCCTCGGTGCTGTTGTGCCGAGGCACTCACCGCTGTAGCAGATGGCGTCGTAGCGGGAGTCGGGGTGCGGGTAGCCCGTCTGGTTGACGTACAGGTACACGGTCCTCACGCCCACCAGGTTGCCCCCGCAGTTGGGCCGTGCCCTGGAGATGGGGTAGCGCACGCTGCGGTCGGCCAGCCAGCCCGCGCTGCACATGTCCATGCCATCCTTCCAGGCCAGGTACAGCTCTCCCGTGGTGGCCAAGCGCGCTCCCAAACTGCGGCACTTGTCAAAGGCTTCTTGGAAGGTGAACTTCTCTGGGGCAGTGGCGTAGAAGACTTTGCCTGTAACCGCATCATCCATTAGCACAGGAGTTACCTGTCGATTTTAATCCCAATTCCCTTTCTGTCTCCCTCCCACTCATAAGACTTTGGATAAGATGCAGACTCCTGTGTATTAGAGCTGAAATGCAAGCCTGTGTCGGTGACTCTATAAAGACCAGAAGAAAGTGAGTCTTACAGACCAACTGCAGATTTGAGCAAAACACACCACACCAGCTGAAGCCACAGGGGCAAGAGGTAGATAAAGGACAATTGTAGTTCTGTTGTGCCAAATATTTCAATGGATCCCTGTCACAAGCATGAATGATTGATGCATCTAAAAGTGACACATTCAAATGGCTGACCAGGCAGGATCACATGGACTCTGGTGGAGATTAGATGAACTCCACCCTCTGTGCTGCATTAGTCATTTGACATTACAATTGTCCAAGGTCTAATAAAAAGACTAGAGAACATCTGGGCTGGCCAGGGTATGTGCTTTTCCAGCTTTAACCTGTCTTTTCTCTGTTTGCTGTTGTGCAGTCTAGGCATGATCAGGGCTTTGGCTGCTTCTGCGTCTAGTAACAATAAAAGCCCCAAATCACCTTGCATTTGCTCTGCATAGCAGTAAACATCATAGGTTTCATCTGGCTCACGGACACCATAGGTCCTCACTCCTGGAAATTCATCCTTGTCGCCATAGCAGCGCTCCCGGGGCCAGTGGATGGGGTACCTGAGAAGAGATTGTGGATAAAGATGGGGGCAGGATCCTGGCAGTCACAGAAGGCTGGGAGGGAGCTGCAGAGCACTGCCCAGTGTGGTGATTTATGGCTTTTCCAAGGTTATGGGAAAGGGAAAGGATGATCTGTTGTCCTGCCCTCACACTGAGGGTCCCTGGACCTCTGACTAAAGACATCAGGACAAGGTGCCTCCCCAGTGAGGAATGCACAACTCAGTCTGGTTGAGCCAAATTTGTGCATCTTGGCACAACATTGGCTTTGATCAGGGAAGATGGAGGATCAGGATGGAGCCATTGTCCACTCAGTTGTCACCACCAGCCCAAGAGGACAGTGGTCACTCTGCTTTCCTACTAGAGATTCACCTCTAGCAGAGAATGACTTGCAATCCACCACCCCCCTCTGCACACCAGCAGTTACAACAGCTGAGATTTAGCAACTGCTTTCAGTTGGTGGCTTCATTACAGGAGTCCTTCCCTAACAATGCTGCTGTGGCTTTCCCTTCCCCTGCGTGACTTCTCACCTGACAGTCTGATCAGCCAGCCAGCCAGCATCACACTGCTCGTACCCATCCTCGTAGGCAGCCTGCAGCTGCTCGGGGGTAGCAATGACAGCACTGTTCTGGATACAGGCCTGCTTTGCCTTCTCGAAGTTCAGGGTGTACCTTGTGGAGATTGCTCTGTAGTGGAATACGATGCCTGGAAAAGACAATGGACATCACTCACAATCACCAGCCCCTTGCCTTCCAGAGAAGGCACAAGAAAAAGGTAAAATTAAACCTCATCCTGTAGAGTCCTGCAGTGGAAGCTGTCTCCCTGTCTTATACGGAAAGCAAAAACCATAAAAAAGAAAAGGATTGTACAAAACTTATGTTATTTTATCCACCTATTACTAGAACAGGCTTTGCAATATGGCAATGGAAGTTTTTCCAGAACAGCCCAATTCTCCAGATGAGGGCATCCCATCTCCTAAAATGTTTGGAAAAAATTAAAGGTCTGGCAAGGGCCCTGTTCCAGCTTTACCCGCTTGAGTAATAGCCCAGTGTATCCAGTACCACCTCCTGCCAAGGATGTCATCTTGCTGCCTCTGTAAGTCACCTTCTGCCAGAAGAGACATTTTCTTGCCATATTCTGCCATGAGTCATTTTGCTGGTTTGTTTAGTCTGGTCCTAGCCTGCTGAAATAAATGCTTGCCCTGTGGCTTCTCCACCCATCACCTTATCTGTGACCTGAGAGAAAGGGCTTATTCCTATGAGGAGAGCACTGCATCTTCTGCCTGCGTGCCTCTTCCTCCCTTCTGCCCAGCCAAGCAGCAAGACACTGAGAGACAAGAGCAAGGGCAGGATCCCACCTTTCACTAGGACCTCTATGGTGTCCTGTCTGTCCTCAATGCCGTACATGACTTCGCAGCGATAAATCCCGGTGTGGTTGGATCGCAGCGCCTTGATCTCCAGCGTGGCATCGGTGGGGATGGCGGGGTAGTTGGGCAAGGAGATCACCTCCCTGTACTCGCTGTTGAGCCGGATCTTCCCACCCGTGGCCACCAGCAAGACAACTTCGGTCCCGTTGGAGAGCTTGCTCCATTTGATGCGTGGGGTCAGCACGAGGCTGGTGTCCTGCTCCTCTGGGATGTTGAAGTAACACGGGATGTTCAGGGAGCTTCCCAGGATAACACGCAGGGGAGACTGCTCAGGTATCTTGACTTCCAGGCCATCACTACTGTCTGCCAGTTCCCAAACAGAGCAATGGTTACATCAACAACACATGTAATACAAAATATCCCATGTTTCCATATGATCCAGTGCCTGTATCTGCTGTGCAAACCTGTATCCACATATTCAGACACGATCTTTTTGTCTAGTCTAGAAAGGGAAGTTGTGGCAATGACCACTGCACCATGGCGGCTTTTGAGATTTGGATCAGTGCTGGATGCGGGAATGAAGGGGACAAAGGGCTCTGCTGCAGCCTAGCTGCTGACCACACTACGAATTCACACTTGGTAATGTTTTAAAAGGGAAATGCTGAAATTCTCCTTGTTTCCCCACAAATCTGCAGCTATGTCCCTGGCTTCCCAAGCACTGGAGCAGTGAGAGGCTGTGGCCCGGCAGCCATCCGAACAGAGGAGCTCTGTGTGTGCACGGCACAGGTCTTGGGCACATTTAATTCTGGGGGCTGCCCGTCCATGGGGATGGGACCAGAGTGCAGCACATGGCTCAGTCCTGCTTTGCCATGCCCTGGACACGTACCTGAGAGCTCCACAGAGTCGGCTGCGGTGATGACTTGCAAACACACAAACACTAATAGTAAAGTGGTCATAATTTACCTGCAAGAAACAACACAGGGAGAAAGGATTTGTGTATGTTCACAGGGAGCTGAGTGCTGTGGATGCTGCTGCAAGGCAGTGCAATGCTTTCAGCTGCCCCTAAAGCCTCCTACACTCCTCACACCAGCAGGGAAAGCCTGTCCTTGGGGAAGGATTCTGCCCCAAAGGGCTGCTTGCTTTGAGACATCAGTCCATGGGACAAATAAATAAGATGCTCTGCTGTGTACAACAGTCTGAAGTGTTATTATACACCACTTAATATGTTGCTTTCCCATTCTCTCTCTTGTGATTCAGTCTTACCTATGGAGCAGAAAGACAATTTTACAACAGGTTTACAAACCTGTTACGTATTTACTTAAGAGGGACCATCACATACACTAAGCCTTTGTCTCAGAACAGGAGTTGTTCCTCACTGGGCATTCCAAATCAAGCCAAAACTGGCTCTCAGGCCAGATGGTTGGAAGAATTTTCTATTCCTTAAAATGCTCTGAAGCAAAAATTGCCCTCTGCATGGGGGAAAAGTAAAATGTTACAACTCTTTTCCAAAAAACCTGCACTGAGAGCCAGCATATCCACAAGTGCAAACTGATCCAGAACTAATACAAGAAATCCACAGGATTTGGGCAACTTAAATCCACCCTAAATATATCTTCTTGGGATCCCTCAATTAGTCAGAGCAACCTGATTGTTCTGAAGGCTTCAGGAAGAGAAAGGATGGTCCTGCTGACATTGAGTGACAGAAGCAATATACGGAGGCCAGCTAATTTAATCCTAACTGGATTACCACCCAGTATAATATCATGCCGTGTTAAATCACCACAAAGACTCGAGTTGGTTTCAATATTTCAAATAAAAAACAGGTCCTCTGGCAACCCAGCACAGTTTGGCATCACTTTTCAGCCCTGACTCAGAAGGAAGGACCACACCTACTGAATCACTGGTGTTTCCTTTGAGGTCTCAATATTGGCTGTTTCACTCCTGTGATCTAGAAAGATTCCAGATGACTTCACCTGACAGGTAATATTCCAGGTATATGCCTATTGAACTTGTAGAGAACTCCATTGCATATCCACACTGGCACAAGAAAAGGTCAAAAATAGACCCCATCATGTACAGTTCATCACTAACCTTTTACCTGTGAAAAAACTGACCTCTATGCACTCATTCATGTGAATCTGACACACCACAGAACCTTATCTTTAGTGAATAGAGACAGCTCTACTGGCAGAAAACAGGAGAGAACAGGGATGGATCACATTGGCAGAGGAGTGTGTAGACTTCAGTTTGCAGCTGTAGGGCTGAACAAGATCAAATGGAGATATCCCATTCTCTGCTCTGTATGGGAATAAAATTCCAGGTAATTGCTAACCTCAGGGAGAACTCTGGGAGCTGTACATGTGTTTGGGTGTCTCTCTGGTGAGGGGTGATGTCTGCACAAACATTGTATTACAAAGCTCTTCTGCAGATGACAGCTGACTTCACCGTTTCCCTGCAGGGATGGGCAGTGCAGAGCCACTGCCCCGCTGCAGAGGAGGTCAAAGAGTCTGGCAGCCAGCACTGGGGCAGTGGGTTGTGCCCACAGGATGGGCAATGAAGGGCCTTCTGCTCCTCAGTAAAGCAAGGGGAACTGGAAACACCATCTGCTACTGACAAACAGCCTGAAATCAGCTTGGCCAAGCAGTACCCAGGAGTCCTTAAAGAGCTGGCTGAGGGAGCTGCTGGCCCACTGATGCTCGTTCATAATCTCTGCTGCAGCACTGGGGCAGGTCCCAAGTACTGAAGCTCTGAGTCCAGCCAGCCAAGATACACAATGATGAGCCTCATAAATACGTGCTAGTTTGATTGACATAAATTCCAGGCAAAATAATGGAAAATCTGATACAGAGTTCAGTTCATTAAGCACTGAAGAATAGATGCAATACTAATCTTAGTTAAGGCACTTGTGTATAAAACAGGTGCTTCCAGCCTTTTATTATTTGGCACGATTCTAAGCTTGTTTGATAAAGCTGCCTGCATGGCTGCAACACAATGCAATTAGATTTTGATAAGGTTTGAATTTTTCAGGGTTGTGTGATATGAAGATGTGTAATGTCAGTAGTACATGCATTAAAATGGCTTAGCAGAAGCCAGGCTGGTGGGTCCCTAATGGGATCCATCTGAGGGACCTTGAGGGAAATATTTCTAATGGGCATCTACAGGGGTTGCTATTAGATCCAATGGGTTTCCATATAGACTGCATTTTAATAGAATCAAATATAAAATTGTACAAGAAATTCATGCCTGACAATGGGATGTTGAGTCCCAGAAAGAAGTCACAGGAGAGCTGCTGCTATTATCCCACAGTAAACCAAACAGGAATTCCTCTCTGTGCATTAGAGGTGAACAATGGGAATACTTGCACACCCCTGGGCTGTCATGAAGATATCAGAAAAAGGTGGTGACAAAATATCCATTAGCAAGGATCTGAGGGCTGGACAGTGCTATATGGGGGAAGACTGGAAAGTAGGAAGTTTGAACCTAATTGCTGCAACAAAAAAAAGAAAACTGAGAAGTTGACAACTGTGCACAAATACTGTTTCAAGCAGAGACTGCTGGTGCTAAAGGGCTCTTTAATCTAGAAGAAATTCATGACCAGAACTAATAGCTAGGAGACATATGCTGAGTGAAATCAAATGGGAACCAAACCCACACTCTGCACAGTGGGTGATGGATCACTGAAACTGGTACCAAAGGAAGTAATGGAGTTTCTGTCAGGGTGGATCCTGCAGGACAGAAAGGATTTGGGTAGAGGACACTCTCCTAATCACTAGTAAAATACCTGTTTGAGTATTAAATAAAACCCTTTATTTCTCCAGACTGCTTAGATGAGGTACCTTTCATTTACTTGCATTTTGTCAGAATCAAAGTAAGCTGAATATCCCTGAGTGTCATGAGAGAAACTCAGGCAAGAGAGACAAGCCTGGGTTACCTACTAAAGAATAGAAGTGTCCTAGAGCAAGGGTTGCTTAAATACAACTGGAGTTGGCTACTGAAAAGACTTACAGGGTCTGTGGCTATGGGAAACAGGTATTGTTTTCTGAGTTGATATTTCTGTGTACATTGGCAGTGGAGAGGAGGAGAGCAGGTTCATCTGCCCATCAGGTAGGCAGCACACAACAGAATGCCCTAACAGGAAGAAATTTCCTTTGTCCCAAAAGCTAAGACATGCTCATGTTCTCTTAGTCTTATTCAGGCTTTATGCTGATCTTCCACAAGGAAAAACAGCCTCACATGACAACAGCTGAGACCAGTGGTATCTTTTCAGTTTGGTTTAACTATGGAGGAAAAAACCCAACCTCCCTCTATCCCACAGAAGCCCAGAGGAAATGAATTTTCCTTGTGAGCAGTGGTTAACAAATCAGAATAACAATGTTTTGGGTGTATTCTGCGAAAGTGTTGAGTCCTTGCCAGTAAGAAACCTAACCTACTCCTCAGGGTGCTGTTTGCAATGTTGATCTTCATTTTTCATTCCCCTGAAGCATGCCAAGGAGATCCAGCCCTGAGTCTGCACACAGCTCTGGTTGGGATTCACTGCTCTGGGAATGTCTCTGATTTACATCCCGTTGTTACAGCAGTGGCCCTGTGCTGCAGCACTCCTGCTCTGTGGTGTCTCCAGTGGGATGTCCAGGCACATGCTAATGGGCAAACAGCTTCTTGAAGAAGCAGCTCTGGAAGCAAGTGAGTAAAGAGGGAGGTCTGTGTGAGCAGATGTGGGTAGTACAGAGGATGGAGACCCGGCGTGCCTTGACAAGGGAACTGGGGAGGTTGTTCCTGTCATCCTAAAGCAGCATGTAAACAGATTGACGGTCAGGGCAGAGCAGGGTGAGGAGCTCAGGCGTGGATTCTGTCCCTTACTGAGGTGTAGGTTCAGGCTGAGTGGGCTGTGCCCAAATCACAGGAAGGTGCAGCTCAGTGTGTGGGAGCATCAGTGTGTGCTCACTGAGGTGGGACCTGGCACACAGGAAAAGTCCTCAGGGATAAGTGGCTGAGCTGCAAGACTGAGTAAAGGCTCAGTGCAGTCTGCAGCAGCCTAAGCAACGGCAGGAACATCCCCTGCTCAGGATCTTACAAATTGGCCCCCAGCTGCAGCTGAATGGCTAAGGAAACATGCTGGAAATACAGCCAATGCCCCTACCATATGTGTCATAAATAACACAGGCCTCTGGACATATCCTCCTTTGAAAACCATTGAGGTGTTCTGGCTACTAGAATAAGGTGAGCTCCTACGCCCACAGGAACTGCCAGATCACTGCTGGCAAACTCCAGTTCAGTTGCAGGGTCCTTTTCTTCTGGCATAAGTCACCCTGAAGAGAAGTTGTTCTGCACACACTTCCGTGGAGCTGAAAAGAGAGGTTTGTCCAGGCTCTAGTGGGGAGCACTGTGAGGGGCAATTCTTGCAGCACAGAGCCTTCCAGACAGGCAACAATGATCACACCATGCTTTCTGCCAGTCCATGCTACAAAAACACCTCCCATCCCTGCAGATTGCTCTCCTGCAAAACTCCATTTGCACTTTCTGGGAGAGCAGCTGGAGCAAGCAGATTTTGTGGTGAAAAGAGAGGAGGAGGCAGGAGGAGTTACACAAGGTCAGGGCTATGCCTCTGTCCCTGTGTGCAGTACTGAGCAGTCTGGAGCAACAAGAATCCAACCAAACTGCCACAAAAATTCTGGCCATCCTACCATCTCTAACCAGTGACCAAGACAGAAACAAAGCCCTCTCCAATTCAGCCTGGGACTGGAAGAATTCAGGAAAAAACTCTTACCTCTCTGAGAAGGACAGGGTTGGGAACTGCTGGTATGCTCGGGATCTCCCCACCCCGGAGAACAACTGTCCCTTTCACTGAAGTTTATTGCCACTCTATTTTATTCCTAAGACTGTGCTTCTGTGTCAGGTTGTGTGCAGTGTCCTAAATTGGCTGCATATAAATATGTTTATTTGAGAATCCAAGCATGCG